TATATATATATATATATATATATATATATATAATATGTAAAGCGCACTGGCGACAAAATTAGATCATCCTAAAATGCGGAAAAAGGCACAATTTATCCTCAAAATAATCACATGATCGCATAAAATTGTAGCTTTTTTCGTCCACAGTGAATTTTTATAATTTCTCCATTATTTTATAGCTTGTATCCTCCAGATTCCGAAAGATGGTGATATGTTTATACTAACAAATTTTGCTTAAAATTAAAGTAAAAATGAAGGTTTAGAACGTTTTTTTTCAAAAGATGTTTTAAATTTTTTCAAAAGAGATCTGTTTTTTGAAGGAACAATCTTCGCACAACGTATCAGAATTGCAAGGTGGCACCTTCTTTATATGACGAGTTACGGCGCGGTTAGTGACAGTGGACCGGAAAAAAACTCCCTAATAGGAGCCGCGTTTTGGAGCTTTCATAAGTGAAAAAGCCTCTGTCCCAATTAAAATTTTATTGTTTTTTATAATATATGAAATTCTTATAAAACTCTTCAGCCCTACTACTTCACTAACATAGTTAGCCAAAATTTTTTTTACTTGTAAGCAGTTTTTCAGTTTTTTTCAGAAGAAATTACTATTGCCATTACTTTTTCGGTTTTTATCGCTTTACTTGCTCATTGAACCCTTCTAACTCAGTTATTTCACACTCAGTAATTTCTTTGATTGCAATTATTATTTTGCTATTTTTGCTCTCAGCATCCTGTAGTTTATCTTTATTACCTGTTACTGAAGTAGTAAAGTTGAGGAGTTTTATAAGAATTATATTGTTATAGTTAATAGAATTCTAGTTGAATGAGGGACGCTATCACTTGCGAAAACTTTAAAATGCTGCTTCGATTAGTGACTTTTCGGTCCATTGTTACTAATCGCACCGTAACTTGTCATACCAGAAAGGTGCTACCTTGCAATTTTGATATGTTGTGCAAAGACTGTTCCTTCAAAAATTGTTGTTTAAAAAATTTAAGATATTTTCTTTTGAAAAAGAACGTTGTAGATTTCGTTTTTACTCTAATTTTAAACAAAATTTGTTAACATAAACATTTCACCATTTTCTGGAATCTGCAGGGTACAGACTTTGAAATAAATTAAAAATTATAGAAATTCATTGTGAATGAAAAAGGCTACAATTTCTTGAAGGTGATTATGTGGCCTTCTTTGTTTTCAAAGTCTGGTATTAAGTGCTGCGAACAGGCAAAAAAGGAAGAAATCTACTAGGTTGACTGGCAAAAATTTGCGACTTAGTATGGAATTGCCTATATATGTATATTAGTGTTGCAAATGTTATTTATTTCTAATGCTTTATTTAGATGAAACCAGGCACATTTTCTGCTTATTCTAATGGGGGCTCATCACCGCCTTCTCAGTCCTCAAACAGCAGTGTTGCATCACCTCATTTGTTGTATAATTCAGTGGATTTGTGCGCAGTTGGTGCTTTGAATGCTCAGTCTTTGCTCCAGCAGGTCTTCTCTTTTATGATTTCGCGATTTTTCCTCAAGGCTAATTGAAGAAACCGACTTGACGAGGGAATAAAATTGAAAATTGTAGCAACAGCAGAGAAGGGAGAAGCGGGCGACAGGCTTACTTTTATCAAATGAGTCGTTAAATTCACCGGCAGCCGCAGGTACAGCTGGGACTTGTGCGTATCCTGCTTGGTCATCTGCGTATACGACATACGGTATTAATAGTAACAATGAGGCACAGAGCCACTATCAGAGCCTTGCACAAGCATTTCATAGTCAGGGTATGTAATTCGAGTTGCGTCTGATGCGTTTTTATCATTTGATTTTGCTGACCTTTTGGTTTGGTTTTAGACCATTATCAATCCAGAACATTTGTTCCGTTGTTCTCGAATTTTGGACAGGCTTGTAGTGGCGCTGTGCTCCAGGACGTGCCTCCTCTTAATGTTGATGACTTGTCTGATCCTCTCAAATTACGGTTTGATATTATTTTCGAGTTTTTAGTGTTATCAGCTTTTCTGAACAAGTTGTGCAGCCCTACTTTAATTATTGTGTGAAGTGAAATATTTTTCAAGTTAAATTCAGTAGTCATGTTTCCAGCACTGACCAGATCGATTTTGATCCTTACCATCTGATGAAGTCAATTTGGTCTGATTTGGATGGCGAAAAAACGGCTGGTTCCGTCGACAGTGTTACAGCAGTTGCAACAGCATAACCAAAGCTTGCAGAAGTAAGACGCCATCGAAAGTTACATTTTCTATTCAGTGGCATGCGTGGTCTTTTTTTTTTTCTTTGTCTTTCTCTCGATGCAGATTGGCGTGCCTTAGTGTGGTTGCATTTATACATTAAGTCTGTAAGTAAGAAGCTCATTTGGGAGGTAAAAAATAGGTTTTTTCCTTCAACAATTGAACCAAAGGCAAAAACCCCGTGGTGTGGTCTAAGGGCGTCTCTCGCAAATGGTTGTTGTCGTCGTTTGACTCTCTTTTACTTCTCCCCAGTCTACACCACGTTTCACTAAGCGATTGCTCATGTGGTTGGTTAACTTCGAGTTTTTCTCAGGAACAACAGATTGGCATTCCAATCTTTTCAATGCATTGGTAATTCAGATTTTCAAGTCTAAATATTTCAGGTTCAGTGTGCAATGGGTATAATTAATATTTGAGTGTAGTGGATAATGTCAATACTATTCGAAACTTAATGGGTGCGAGGAAATGGCTAATTTTGCTTTTGCTTTTGTGTCGTTTTTGCATTGTTAGCGTCAGTGCATGGCGAACACATAGGGATTGTTTGTAAATTTTCATAAGCCAGAGTTTAACTGATGTGTTTCTTTATCGTCACATTCTGTTCTTGGCTCACAACTTTTAATAACTGTTTTGGTGTTTCGTTTTTCTTTTGGGCTTTGATCTGTGCTTTTTGGCGATTCATTTAATCAGATGCTTTTGTCGCTTGACTTACTTGATGCTTTACTTTTTTGTACTACTTTTTATTGTCTAAAAATTTGTAATATTTTGATGTCATGGTCACAGTTTTCTATGCATGGGCTGTAAAGTGATTTATGCCTTTCCGCATATTGGAGTCCATGTGTATTTTCGTATTCTGTTGGGTTTCTTGTGGGTGTTTGTATTGAAGTCGAGCTTTAAATCACAGTCTTTTGTCAAGTCATAGTTTTTTTTTGCTGTCATTTACGAACTTAGGCATTTATTTCTTTGGGTGTTTTCAAAACTTCTTTGTAGAGGGCGCGTAATGGCTTTTTCATTTTCCGTTCTCTTTATTCTTTTTATGGATGTTTGAATGCTACAAGTGACGAGGTTTTAGTTGCCAACGACACTTATAAGATGTTCTATTGGTTTTCTGATTTTATTCCACTTTTTTTACAGTTGATTTCGGATTTATGGGATATTGTGCCGAGGTCGGCTCTTTGTCTTCTGGGCGTTAGCGTTAAGGAGCATTTTTCTCAAGCTTTAAAGTGTTGTAATAAGGCAGTTTTCATTTTCGCTCTTCTAAAATATTTTTTGCAGATGTTAGGTAGGGGAAAGAGAGAGAGGGAGAGGAAAATTCTGTGTGTAAAAAAAATATATAGCAAATTTTTAGTCTATTTGTTTATTTTGCACTTTTTATTTACTATTTTTGACCGCCACTTACAGAAAAAATTCATATTCGTTTTGAGTAGTGTTGGTGGTGACGGCAGTGTGATGCGCATATTAACCTAAGAACGAGTTGAAATTTAAATTTAGGGTTGGTTCATTGAATCAGTCGGATTCATATAGTTGCGTTTTTGCATTTGGGAACTCTATCTATAAACTTAATTTTGTTTTTGAAAGAAAAGTTTCTATTCCAAAGGTGTGTTGTATATATATATATATGAGCTTCTTTTTTTTTCTAAAATATTTATAAAAGGGTATTTGTCGTACGACATCGGAAGTTAAAAGACAAAACAAAGAAGGAAATTAAAATTTTAGAGCAAAAATTAAATCTATTTTAGATTGACCTCTAATTTTTGTACAGAAGAAAAGGGAGAGAAAGAAGAGAGCAAAAATTTTTTAATCAGAATACGGTTTTTTGAAGAGATATCTCCTTGATGCTGCTGGTACTACTGTTGCTTTTAATATATGCTTTTGCTTTTGTTGCTGCTGAATACATTTTACCGAAGTGTGCTGCTTTCACCCAGGTTCTGAGTTTGTTCTGTCGGTTAGGTTTTCTATATCCTCTTTAATAGATTTTGTTTTATTTATTTCCGATTTTACTCGCATAAATTTTGCGTTTTTTATTGTAAGAATCTGTTCTTGTATATAAGTACTGGTCGTTTTTGTTTCTTCTGTAGATAGGCGCATTTGTATTTTGGAAGGGCAGCGTGTATGGGATGGTATGGTAAATGGTCGTTTAAGTGAGATTTAGTTGTTGAAGTTTTTGCAAGAACTGATATGTTGAGAAATATTTGTGGGAGTTCTTCTATAGATCTTTTTGTTGCTTTTCAGCAGGCTTCTGGTACTCGTTAATTTTTGGTCTTTTTTGTTTTGTTGTTATATCTTGAAAAGGCTAATGTTTGACATTGGTGGTGTGGAACTCAAGTTGAAGATCCGTTGAAATGTTGATGGTGATTGTAAGTAGTTTGTTATAGAGTTATTTTGAACTTCTTTTTGGTAATTTTTGAGGTTTTTTGTTTCATTTTGTTGCTCTTGGCGTCTCTGTCAAGTTCCCAATTGGTCAGCAAGCAATGGCACATTTGGTAATATCGTTTTTAGCGGCTTTTAATTTACGGTTTTGTGATTACTTCGTCTTAAATTTAGTTTAATTATATTTTCCCTTCCCAAATTTTTTATTTGAATTTAATGTATATTTTGTTGCACAGTTTACAAATTTGCTTATTATAGCTTTAGCATTGGGAGGTCATTGTTTTTGTCTTTGTTTATTTTTTCTCTTTTATGCTCGTTGCTGTTGTTACTGTTGTAAATCTTCAAGAACACGCATTAGCGTATTGCACAGAGGCTTATGGTGATAATGGAGCTACGGTCAAGAAGAAAAAGGAAAGATAAAGTGGTCTAGTTAGCCGTTTTCTTTTTTTTTTTTTTTCGCCACCTGAATATATTTATTTACTTGGTTTTTGTAAAGACCGAGTAGACAGGGAGTGTGCATTTCAGGTGCGCGAAGAAAAAGATCAAAGGGAAAAGGAGGAAAGTAAGAATCTAAGAGATGGGGGAAGGGGGGTATAATTCTGGTATCAGTGCTCTATGTTAGTTTTTCCCTTTTATTCTCTTCAGTTTTGTTTTCGCATCGTTTTTTTTCAACATTTCATTTATTTGCTGTGGACATGTTTTTTTCGGTTTCTTTTTTATTTTTTTTGTGTGTGTGTTATTGAGTACCTCTCGACCGATTTTTTCATCATTTTTTTTTTTTCAGCTATCTCGATATTGTAAGTTTGTTTATTAACGTGAAATATGTCAAGTTTTGATATTCCACAAGTTTTTCCCTCCCTCATTTTCCATTTGTCATTTGCTGTTTTCTGTGGATAAATTTTGTTAAAGTTTCTGGTTTTTGCTTCTTTTACACAGTTCATTTGCTGCTGCTCCTTATTTTGCTGCTTGCTGTAGAAACTGATATATCTTCTCAATGGTGAAGATGGTTGCACGCAAGGTGGAAAGAGGAAAAGTTGAGGATTTTTTGTGTTTTCATTACGTTCTTTCATTTTAAAATATGGTTTACTTCAGTGACAACTAAACTGGCAGTTCTGGAATGGTGATGATCAAAACTATTTATTTTGGCTAGTTTGTCTGTACATATTCAGTTGGTAAGGGATTGAAGCAGGAGGGGAATCTGCAAATGGAATAGTTGTAGCTGCTATTTACTGCAGCATGTCTGAAATGTTGAAAATGGGTTCGTGCGTCAAACGTTTTGTTTGCTGTTTTGGCTGAATCGAAAGCACTGCAAACGTAGAGAGAGAGAGAGAGAGAGAAGGGAAGTGAATATGGGTGGTTTAGTAAATGGAAAGATTTTCAAGGCATTAGAACGGATTTAAGCCTGCAGCAGTCGTAAAAAAGGGAATTGATTTTGACTGTTGTGGTGTTTCGAGTTTGTTGTGCATTTTACGGTCAAGTGTTTTATATGCCATTTAAATGATGCAATCGAGACGGAGTAGGACGTGGATTGGATTATCTTTTGGTTAGTATATATGAAACTGAAGGAGAAGAGGAAGGGATCATCTGTTTAAGACGCTTACATTTTTCACTTAGGCATCAGCAAATAGTGCAAAAAGCGACATTTTTGCTCTTTGGTTTTGTTTGGTGTTTGTGCGAGCAGTTTCTGAAGAACCTTTTGGTTTGTATTGCCTGGTGTGGTGGGGGATACTTTCGTTTCTGTTATTGATGGGCTTCGTTTTACGTTGTCAACTGACGGTTCGCTGATATTGACTACAAATTTTAGGCAGAGATCTGTTTATGCATAGTGGTTTGTAGGACGGTCTGAAATTTCTTTTTTTTTTTTTGATTGTCGATACGCAGGGAAGATGTAAGAGAAGGCCTATGAGTCTGGAGGATCAAACAGGGAATAATGTTTGGAGAAACAGTGATAAAGGTGCTGAAATATTTACATCTTTTTCGTTGGTACTTATACATTTAACAGGATAAACATTTAGTGATGGAATCGATGGTTCAACTTCATTTCGTATTTCTTGCGTTTGGTCGCAGTTTACTTTTTAAAGCTAATAGGAGGTACACTTTGTGTTTTTTTCATTTCTAGTTTCCCCGTGTAATTGTGTGGTGGAGTGTGGAATTGTTGAAGAGGAAAAGGTTTTAATTATTGTGACTTAAACTTTGGTCGTTACATGGCAGTGAAATGATTTACGCTACTAACGTCTTAATAAGTGCAAATTCAAGATTCCGACTTATTACATGTCCTTTCCTGTCGCCTTTTCATTTTTTGGACTTTCTGCATTCTCTTCTTTGTCTTAGCAAGGTTCGAAAGAAAAGAAAGAAGGTTGGAAGCTGTTGCATTTTTTTAATTTCATTCTTTTTGATTTTGTTTTCAAGAAGTTTTGGCTTTCGCAAGTGAATAATAAAACAACAAAAAACATTGCACGTATATACTTAATACCAGGCAGGTGTGTGCCTAATAAATATACAAGCACCATGACATGTGTAAGGGAAAAAAAAACAAGACAAAAAAAGCAATACGATAAACAAACACAGATTTAGAAAGATATTTAGATTGGAAACATGTGAT